CCTCTTTATTCCTTTTTTTTGGGTCAAATCTCTGTGTGAGCAAAGTCCAGTGTGACCTTCCCAGCATAAAGAGACTTTTGAGTCCATAAAATAAGTGGCTCCCTGGAAGCTGGCTGCAGCATGGTGTCCCCACGGGAGGATTCTGAGCTCCAACATGGCAGGAGCCTGGTAGCTCTCAGTCATTTGATGGGGTTGGTGGTCATGAGGCTGGAGCTCAAGCCAAACATAGTCCTAACCGCGATTCATCAGAATCCGAGAATTCAGAGACACCTGGAATCGTTGTGAATTAAAGACCCTGTCAACACAGTCTGCTCTTCCAACCCCCAACCACCAGGGGCGCAGGCCAAGCTCTAGCTTGAAGTGTGTGGCCTGAAAGTAGCAGCTGCACCTATGTAGTCCTCCTGGGCACAAGGGCGAGCCCAACCTGCTCTTAAGGGGTGGCTTCTCCAGCCACTCCCCTTTCCTCCTCACAGGGTGGGTCTGGCTGAAGCTCTGGCCATCTCTCACCAGGCCAGGGACACCGGCCACTTTCCTGGCCCCTCAGGCAGCAGTTCAGGGTGACCAAGCCAGCAGACAGGAGCATTGGGTACAGATCTCCTCTCAGAGTGACCCTTGCCTGAACCCATCTGCCAGCCTGAACAGAAGACAGGTGGGAGAGCTGTGGCCTCGCTCAGGGGACAACAAACAAGTCTTTTTGCGAGAAAGCATTTGTACGGGGAAGGGCTGGACGAAAGATGGAGAGAAAGCGATGGACTGCTGCCTCTCCACCCCATGGAACAGCTGGTCCCTAGAAAACCCAGTGTGACCCTGGCCAATGCCCCTCAGGAGACAAGGCCACCCAGCTGACTCCCCTCTGCTCCAAAGCCATGGGGAAAAGAGCTTGCATTCCAGGGCCTGCTGTGGTCACTCACAAGGCCACCAACAGCCTCACGGGGCGCTCTGGGAATGGGAACTTCTGGAGATGGGCAATATACACCAAGATTTTTTAAAAAAAAAAAAAAAAAAAAAAGACTTGTTCTCTTAATTTTTAGACTATAAATGGGTTTGTTCGTCACATGTGGTTCAGCCGGGAAAATGTTCCTCGCATATGGTCCCAGGAGAGAGAGCTCCTCAGCACACCCCAGTGGCACTGGGTGACTCAAAATTCATGCCTCTGGTGTCCCGGATGACAGCTCCAACTGCTGTCCCTTTGGTGGTCTGCGATCCCTGTCACCCAAGAAAAGCCTGGCCCCACTGCCCCTGCACATGCAAGGGAAGGAGGGGCCTCCTGCCTCTCCTGCGGGGCCACTGGGCCCTTGTGCTCCCCTCTCCTCCTTCCTCCTGAGGTGCTGGGAATAGAACGGCACCGGCCTGGATCCCACTACACACTGTCACAGACCCTCGGGGTCTGGGTTATCCAGTTCAACCCCCAACGGGGCGCAGGATGCTGTCTTGTCACCCCTCTTTCAACTCCACCAAGTCAATTTACCTTCAGAGAGGAGTGTGTAGGCAAGTCAAAGGCACACAGAAATCAAAAGCCACCTTACAAATACACATTTCCCAGGGAAGTGAAAGGCTTCACCAGAGCCAGCACGAAGAGTGAGGCCTCAGCTATGGCTTCTGGCTCCTGTGGTTTTCTAGCTGTGTTAACCAGCTTGAGTACTTCTCTGAGCCTCAGCTTCATCAGCTGCCAAATGGAGTAACTCCCACTTGTCCTACAGTCACTGTAAGGATTCAGTGATTATTCTGAAGAGTTTTAATGATAATAGGGAAATTCTCATGATAACAGGCCAACCAAGCCCCTGCAGAAGCACACACCATGTATCGCTACATATGTGAACGATGAGATGGGAAGGGAGAACAAGGGAAGCAGAAGTTCAAGATGAAACTGGGCTCCTCCCCAAGGCTGGCCATAAACGGCAAAGTAAGGTAACACAACTGAATCACTTTATTAAGGGAGTAACAACATGAACGCTTAAGTCTCATTAAAAAATCAGAATCCCCCTCCTCCATATCTCAACATGTAGCCCAGTAAAAAGCCAGAGTACAGCCTCCTCAAAGAACAGAAGGGGTGAGGCCAGGCAACTTCCTCAGGCTTAGGGGATGGCATGCATGGCAGGTTAGCTCCCTAAGCTGGGGGAAAATCTAGCAAACACTTTCAAGGGGGAACATTCCACTTCTACCTTCAAACTTGACTGAAAGGGCAGGCTGTATTCCTGGAGTATCCTGAGATGGCTCCTGAGAAGCTTACAAAGCTATAAAAGGGGCCAATTTTGCCCAAATCTCTTTCAAATCAGCTTGCAATTTAAAAGAGGCTGAGGGTGTGCACTTACTGGTTGACAGCTATGTGTGCACATCAAGGGGCACCCGTCTCAGGGCCTTAGACAGGTGAGTTTGCCCCCGCCTCAGAGACCCTGCCAAGACCAGCCCCCCCTACCTGGCTGGCTTCCTTGATGTCAGACCTCAGTCAAGTATCTCCTCAAGAGGCTTCATGGGCTGCTCTACATAACAAGTCAGCTGCTCCCTGTTATCACCAGCAGCACTGACTTGTTCACTTGTCCACTGTTTGTTTTTCCACAATGGAGCGTGGTGAGGGGTCTCATTTACCACGTACGAGGTGCATCCCTGGTACTCAGCAAGCACCAGGCTCATGGGAGGCACTCAAACATCTGCTAAGTAAATAAATTGATGTTGGACTCTGGAGCTGGATAAGGATGGTTTGATATCCCAGTTCCATCACTTACTAGCTCCGTGAACCTGGGTAAGTTATATCACCTTTCTGATCTGTCAACTCGTTTGTAAGAGGGGGATAGCCCTCTCTCATGGGTTCTTGTGAAGACCGAATGAGAGAACACCTGGAGGCCCACTGGCATGGCCACTGGTAACTGTTATCACCATCGTTATTTTATTACCAGTATTATCACTTTAATATCAAACTGATTCTACCTGGCATTCTTGTTTAATAGCTGGATTGGCTTCTTACCAAATGGGCAGGTAGAAGACAGTAAAAAACAATGACAAGTAAACTACCACAGAGCAATGAGTCAGCTTTTCAGTATCACTGGGGAAGGAGCTATTCTACAATAGGACAAAGTTCTAGATATAATAACCTTTAAAGACTGAAGCCTATTTTAACTGTGAAAATCAACAATTTGTGGGAATTTCAGACAAATATGGGTTCAAATCCCAGCTTTTCATCTCCATGTCCTGTGGTCTTGTGTGAGTCATTTAACCTCTTGGAACCTTGGTCTCATTTGTAAAAAGAGGAACAAAACCATCTTCCCCAGAGGTTCTTGTTAAGGAGTAAAGATAACGTATATAAAATATTCGTACATAATAGATACTAAAGATAAGGTTGTGTTACAAACTGATGCATTTCAAGGACACTGAAATGTTTAAGGCCATTTATTCCTGTCTTCCGTAGATCTGTGCTTGTGTATTTCATTCTACTAAGTGCTATGGGTTTTCTGTTTGTGTGTCAGATATTGAGAAGTATCACTTTTCCTCGAAAATCAGCTTCTAAAAGAAACTTTTTAATTTTTTTGAGGCAGGATCTCACTCTGTCGCCCAGGCTGAAGTGCAGTGGTGCTCTTATAGCTACTACTGCAGCCTCAAACCCCTGGGCTCATGTGGTCCTCGCACTTCAGCCTACCAAGTAGCTCAGACTACAGTTGCATGCCACCATAGCCAGTGAATTTTTGTTTTTTTTTTTCCGTAGAGATGGGGTTTCACCATGTTGCCCAGGCTGGTCTCAAACTCCTGGGCGCAAGCCATGTGCCCACCTTGGCCTCCCAAAGTGCTGGGATTACAGGTGTGAGCCACTGTACCTGCCAGAAATTCTTTATGTGATACAGCAAGCTGCCATGAACTATACAGCCACTCCAAATACTTGCAAAGTGAAGACATGAACCCCTCACACTAAGTAGGGCAGCACTACCTTTTTGACACTGTTCGGATGATTCCTTTTCTTATGTCCATTTTCTTGCTTACATCCTAGGCCAGGGGTGGGCGAACTACAGACTGGAGGCCAAGCCCCACCCATCTCAAAGCTCAAGAGGTGAATTTTACATTTTAAAGGTTAAGGAGAAAACAAACCAAGAAGCAGCAACAGAGACCTTATGTGGCCTGCAAAGTCTAAAACGTTTAGTATCTGGTTCTTCACAGAAAAAAAGTCTGCCAACTTGAATTAGTATTGCCTATTTTACAGTTTAGATGTATTTTCAGTATAGAACTTAATTATAAAAGAGATTCTGTTGATTATGGCTAACTTTCTCTGGAGTCCTTCCTTGTAAGCCTGATCAATTAAGTGACATGTTGGTGCTGCGGTGCTGGGAGGCAGGATTAGACGGAGCAGGAAGAAATCTCAACAGATCTAGCAAAACGCTTTTTAAGGCAGGTGCCGAGGCCGCGAACAACTCAGGATTCAGGAAGATGTTTGGTGCTCTGCTCCCACCCTGTAAGGACTGCGCTCGTCCTGGCCTGGGAGCAGCTGGAAGTGGAGGCCTCTGAGCTCCAGGTCAGAACTGAGCCTGTGGTACGGCAAAAAATCCATAAGCGCCTTTGGAGATAAACAGGCCTGACTTTAATTCCTGGCTCTACCCCCTTACTGTGGACAAACACTTTAATCTGTGTCTTAATTTCTTCATCTGAGAAACAAGGACTAAACTAGCTATGTTTGTGAGGACTTGAGATGCTATGTAGAAATACCTGGCACTGTCTCTTACACACAGTAGGCACTGTACTGTGGTACCTGCTGTTATGATGAATCATGATGCAGGGGAACAACACATAGTGAAGTATGGTAGCATTCTATGACCGAGTCATCTCATAACTAACCCAACCACCAAACGAGTGCCCTGCATCCTGCTATGGAGGGCTCCCAATTTTAGTTAGGTGAGCCAGTTAACAGACTCAAGGGAGAATGTCTGGCCAGGTAACAGATTCAAGATAGAACACTGCCACTTAGGATTTACCTCTCAAAAATCACAAGAGCTAAAGTACAACAGGAGAAAGTGACTCACAGGTCTCGATACTGGTCAAAGGCATTGTTGGCTTCCACCTCCAGCTTTCTCAGCCGAGCCGACGGCATGGCCCCATCCTCCAAGGGAGGGTCATACTTGTTACTCCATGGTGACCTGGAGGGAAGGAAGGAAAAGTACATTCCATGAATCATTCCATGAAGACATAGCCAGTGAGCAGGGAGCCTGAGCCCTGGCTATCTGAAATCTCGGAGGCAAAGGTGCTAGCTCCAACAAAGGTTTTTCTGGGTCCTGGCAACAAACAGGGTTTTCTGGAGGTTTGGACAACAAGGGCTCTGATGCAGGCAGACTGGGACACACGCCCGTGCTCCACCTCTCACTGGCTGTGAACGCTCAGCAAGTGTCCCAACTCCCTGAGTCTCACTTTCCTCCTGTGTAAAATGCGGCTGCTACTTGCTCTGCACACAGGGCTGTCATGAGAAATGAGACAAGCAGATCAAGCGCCCAGACCAGAGCTTGCCAGACTGTCAGTGTTCAACAAATGCTAGTTCTTTCTTACCCGCTTTCTCAGTTTCGTGTTCACCACCTATTTTTTCTTCTTTTTTTTTTTTTTTAAACAGAGCCTTGCTCTGTCGCCCAGGCTGGAGTGCAGTGCCGCAATCTTGGCTCACCACAACCTCCGCCTCCCGGGTTCAAGCGATTCTCGTGCCTCAGCCTCCTGAGTAGGTGCAAGCCACCAGGCCTGGCTAATTTTTGTATTTTTAGTAGAGATGGAGTTTGGCCGTGTTGGCCAGGCTGGTCTCAAACTCCTGGCCTCAAGTGATCTGCGTGCCTCAGCCTCCCAAAGTGCTGGGATTATAGGTGTGAGCCACCGCGCCTGGCCCTGTGTTCACCACCTTATAGTTCAACAGATGCCCACTTTCCTCCCTGACTTGCTGGAGGCTCTAGATAAACTTTAAGACCTTCTTACACAGTAAGCATTAAGAAGAGAGCTGTCAGTTACAGAGGCAGGCAAGAGACACAGCTCCACAGGGAAACGCTGATTACATTAGAAGACCTGAGCGATCAGGTTCTCCATGTGAACAGAGGATAGCTTTTCCAACATCCAAGGGCTATGCACACATATAAAGACTGCTAAGTAATGAGAACCAGTCTTTTTGCAGCCCAAAAGACTTGCTGTATTTCTTGAAATGTATTTTGCCACATCAGGAAAGCATTTAATCACACAGAGAACTGGAAAGGGGGTTATAAGGGAAAGATCTACTCATTAATTCCTGCAGGTGGGGTTCAGAGGGCCGAGTGTTCAGAGAAAGTAGCAGAATTAAAAAGGTGAAAGAGGAATGAAAAGACAGAGAAGACAACATGGAATTCAGAAAAAGTCCTTCACACTCTTGGTCTAAATGCCTCGGTGTTTCCACTGTCAGAGACCCACACTGCCTTTTCCACATCCCCTCCTGACCACAGACCTTCATTCGCATCACTGTGATGTGGAATGCATGCTAAGGAAAAAAAGAAGCATGCTCATCATCTTCCAAACCCCAGTTTTAACGAATTCTGTGCACAGACATCTTTCTTTTTGGTTAAGTGATGTTCCACCAGGCACCTCCATCAGTAGATCGTGGAGCATGGAACCAGAATAAGCTGGGCAGCCTCTTCCACCAGCCACCCGCAGGCAGCTTTCTCGGAGGCTGGTTCACAGGTATGTGAGGGAAGAGCTGCTGTGCTTGGTGTCCCCAAAGAGTCTCCAGGCAGGCATTACACTCCTGATCACCTCCAAGCAGAAGGAGTCTTTGGAAATCCTTCTTTCCAAGCTGACCACTTCTTGCTGCTCATTGCAGTTTTGGTAGAGACTTTGCAAGAAAGGGGATGAGACACCCCTTGTGGCCCCACGACCAGCAGCCAGTTTTCATGGTCACACTGGACCACGTGCACACCATGGGAAGGAAACCGTCAACAAGCTGGGACCCCAGATGGCTGGGAAGACAGGCACGCCGCCCACAATAGATGGCTCGGTTCTCCTGGGAAGCCAAGCGCAGGCTGGCGTGTCGGTTCTTGTAGCCTGCTGCTCCTCCCTCTGAAACGGGGATGCCCAACAGAACTTCCTGAGACGTTGGAGATGTTCTCAATCTGTGCTGTCCAAAACCAGTCACGAGCCATGTGGGGCTGCATGAATACTTACAATGTGACCAGTATGACCAAGTGACTAAATTCTTAATTTTATCTAATCGAAATCAATGTGAATGTAGATAGCTCACTCTAGAACCTCAGCTATGAGGGGGCAAGAGCCTTTTCTGTCATCTTCTCTTCGGGTTGCTCAGCACCTAGACCAGTGGCTGGCACTCAACTACATGCTCATTTTTAAAAAAATGTTTTTAAGAATGAATCTGGCCAGGCGCGGTGGCTCATGCCTGTAATCCCAGCACCTTGGGAGGCTGAGGCAGGAGGATCACAAGGTCAGGAGTTCAAGACCAGCCTGGACAACATGGTGAAACCCCATCTCTACTAAACATACAAAATAATAGCTGGGTGTGGTGGCGTGCACCTGTAATCCCAGCTACTCAGGAGGCTGAGGCAGGAGAATCACAGGTGAAGGCGGAGGTTGCAGTGAGCCGAGATTGTACTGCTGCACTCCAGCCTGGGCGACAGAGTAAGATTCCATCTTGGGGAAAGAAAAAAAAAATGAATGAATGAATTCTTGTCCAATCACAGTTGTAAAAAAATAAAAATAAAAAAGAATGAATTCTTGCACCCACCCCGCAACAGAACCCACCACTGCCTCCTCCCTCCCACTCCCTCTCACACAGATGTTGATCCTCATGCCTGTCATATTCTTGCCCTTCTTCCCTCACCCTCGATTGCAAGAGGCCTTTGAGAGAAGAGAGCCTGTGCTGCCTGCCTTCGTCCCCAGTACCCGGCCCTGAGTCAGTGCCAAGCGGATGTTGCGGGTGGACCGAAGCCTCACAGCCCAGGAGAGGAAGAAAGGGGAATCTGCTGGTGTTCTGCTCCTCCAAACCAAGAGATGGAACAGCTTTCTGCCTTTTTATGCTGAGGGGCACCTAAGCACTAAAATACAAAAACACCAAATCAACAAAGGCCTCTCTCATCAGATCTCAGAGACAAAGATCCAGGTGAAAAGATGCTGTCGCCATGATTTATCTATAAACAAGGCTTAGTTCTTCTGCTGGCCAGGGGAGTGGATACGAATCTGAGGGTGTGGAGCTGAACTCCCTCTTTCCCTGGGTGGCCCTTTGAGACTCTGCAGCACACTCACACGCAGGACCGTTCCCACAGTTCGATGACGGCCATTGCCTTCCTGTAGGCCAGGAAGACCCGACCCAAGCGGTGTTCACTTCAAGGCACCCTGATTAGACGCAAGAGCCCATCTCTCGGGCAGACTGGGGGCCTGCAATTTGCAAGAAGCCTGTAACTCACATTTCTACTGGCTCACAGACGATAGCATTTCAAGCTGTTAGTCCCGAAGCCAGGGTAATTGTAGCTGAGGGAAATATCATAACATTACCCAGAATATTCTTAGTGGAAGGGGCACTCAGAACACATTTAAGAGCTTAAATGGAGGCCATTTGAAAAAAGACAGATGGACAGGAATGCTTAGATTTCAAAAGTCAGGCCTTTCATTTCCCTCCGAGTAGGCTTTTTGTTTCAGCTAACAGGTTTCAAACGGTGCTGCTGGCAACGGTCACACCATAAGGATCTTATTTAAGCAAACCATCAAAAACAGTCAGGATGGAAATCTGTGGAGAGAATCAGAAGACCTTGAAGTTTCATATCGAGAAGAGGAGAAAGGAAAGACATACTTTCTGCCTCCACACCCCAGGCTCCTCTCGAAAGGCCTAAGATCCCCCAGAGCCGGTGGTGGGGCCTCAGGAATGCAGGTGGGGGATAAAGGGGTGACCTGGAAGGACTGCAGGTACCAAGTTGCCTTCAGAGCCTGGCCTGGCCACGGACCTAGACATGATCCCGTCCTCCTACCAGCTGCTACAGAACAGCTGCCTTACACAGTAAACTGGAGCTTTTAGGTGCAAATAATAAATATAATAATGATGTTGATTAAGCAAGACCAGTTCAAGGACCACCTTCTCCCGGAAGCGTTCCCTGAATTGCATGTCGGGTGCGAATACTCCTCCCTGCTTGCTCCCTGGTCTGTCAGACCACTCCCCACCTTCACTGGACTACTCGAAGGGCTGGTCCGGTCCACCCACCTCAACAGTGGCTCCCTGGCTGGGCAATGTGGCTCACACCTGTAATCCTAGCAATTTGGGAAGCTGAAGTGGGAGGACTGCTTGAACCTAGGAGTTTGAGGCCAGCCTGGGCAACAAGTGAGGCTCCCATCTCTACAAAAAAAAAAAAAAAGAAAAAGAAAGAAAGAAAAAAAGTCAAAAAATTAGCTGGGGCTGGGCGCAGTGGCTCATGCCTATAATCCCAAAATTTTGGGAAGCCAAGGCAGGAGGATCACTTGAGGTCAGGAGTTCAAGACCAGCCTGGGCAACGTGGTGAAACCCTGTCTGTACCAAAAATACAAAAACTAGCTGGGCGTGATGGCGCACACCTGTAATCCCAGCTACTTGGGAGGCTGAGGCAGGAGAATCCGCTTGAACCCAGGAGACAGAGGTTGCAGTGAGCTGAGATCGTGCCACTGCACTCCAACCTGGGCAATAGAGTGAGACTCTGTCTCAAAAAAAAAAAAAAAAAAAAAAATTCGCTGGGCATGGTGGTACATGCCTATGGTCCTGTGCAGTGGGCCATGTTTGCACCACTGCACTCCAGCCTGGGCGACAAAGCAAGATGCTCCCAAGAAGCACAATACGTGGATGCCGTGCCTGTGACCAGCAGTTCCAGGCACAGAACAAGCCCTTCAAGGATGAACTTGACCAGCCTCAGGGCTGTATCACCACCTATATGCTGTGACATCTGCAGCCACATCCCCAGCCGAGACCTCTCTCCTGGAACTCCACGTGGTACATCCACAGCCTACCTGGTATCTCCACGTTGATCTAATGGGCCTCTCAAGTGTCCCTATGCCAGCTCCTCCCTGAGTCCTCCTCACCTCAATCAACAGTGGCTCAGTTCTGAAGCCTTGTGATCACCCTTCACACCCCACCTCCTCTCCTTCCATCCCCACCCACCTGCAGATGCCGCTGGCTCTACCTTTAAAAGTGACCTCAAATCTCACCACTTCTCACCATTTCAACTTTAGTCTGTGGTCTGAAGGAGGGCAAAATATATTCTCTACCTAATTTCCATTTGAAGCTGGGAAAGGGACATGATTATAAAACTTGTCTAGTCTCTTATAAGTCAGTATTAAACTTTTTACATATATGACAAGGTCTGTGCCATTCAACATTTCATGTGTGTTACTTCTTTTATCCCCCAATAAACAACCCTGTGCTAACTTTTATTACCCTCAGCCTGGGCTTCAAGACCCTGCCAGACCTGCCCTGGCCATGCCTCCTCCCTCATCTCCGGCCCCACCGCCCTCCCCTCACTGCCTTCTCCACCTCTGGCCTTCTGCCAGCTCCACCCTGGTGAGCTCATCACCCAAGGCCTCAGCACCCAGCAGGCTCTTCCCCAGACCTGGACCTTTTCATCCTCCTGTTCCCACTTGTGGGAGAGCCTTCCCTGCCTGCCTGTCCTCTCCCTCTCTCCCACTGTCCTCTTTATTTTCTTTAGGAAGCATTCTGTTGAGTAAACAAATACTATCATTTGCATTTTACAGATGACAAAACTAAAAGACCAGCAACAAGAAGTGATTTGTCAAAGTCCCACTGACACAGGGAGCTGTGCTGGTTTGAAGCCCACACTGGCTGACTCCTAATCATTTTTTCTGCTTTGACTTCCCAGAAGCGTTGCCCCGTCTCCAAAGAGAGCATTAGGGTGAAGCTTCAAGACAGCCCTGGTTCTGTGGCCGCCAAATAAACCTAAAGCAGGCTGTGTTCCTCTACTGTTCTCCAAGGCAGTGACTACTGCAATTCATCATGGAAACACTGGGCTAGTTTAAGAATTCTCACTCTTGAAAAATAGAGATATAACTCCTACATGCTCTTAAAACCCAGCTCAGACATCAGCTCCTTCAGGAAGTCCTCCTGGAGTTGACCATGGCCTCTTCTGTGCTTCTCTCCCACCCTGAACAGACTTTGCACTGGCTGTATGAATCACATCGTACAGTTATCAGTTACCCAATGTGTCTCCTATGCTAGACCTGGTGATCAGACACCCAGGGCAGGGACTAATGTCAACTTAGTTATTTACAGCCTTGGGCGAGGTGACGGAAAGAGAGAAGAGAGCTGCGTATCTGACAGAGCTGCATTCGTAGATCCCTTAACCACAGAGACCCTCCCTGCCCTCAGGATCCCCATCATAGGCACACTCTGTATGCTGCCCTTTGCAGGCCTGAACACAATTATAACAGAACAGCTGTTTTCGGGAACAATATCCGTCTCCTATTAGATTGGAAGATCCATAAAGGCAGGGGGCCTTTTGTCCACTGCTCTATCTCCCAGGCTTGTGGGTGGCACTCCTCACACACCTGCTGCATGGCTGGAATAACAGATGGAAGGAGGAGAAGAATGCGGAGGACAAGAGAAGAAAGGAGAGGAGGGCAGCCAACGGGCTGCCAGCTGCCCAAGTCCAAGGTCCCCGTGCTCTGCAGCAGGCACCTATGGCAGCCCGCATGTGGCTGGTGTGCCTGCTGCATACCCGGGGCATGAGCTCACCTATAGGAGTCCCCATCTCTGTTGTAGTCACACAAAAGGTAATCCTTTCCCACCACCTTGTCTCTGGCAATTTTCAGTGGCTGGTCAACAGAAGACAGGAGATCCTCACATAGACTGGGGACCTGGCAGAGAGAAAGGACAAGGTCGAAACAGAGGTTAAAATAGCACACCAAACTCAGGTGGCTAACAATACTGCAGCCATATCATGGTCAGTACCTTTAACATCTGGCCCTGGGTACTGAGCCAAAATTATGGGCCTGTTCTTTTCTTTTCCACATGTGTCTGACACCAACTGTGTCCCTCTATTAAGAAACCCGTTCTTGAATTACAGCGGAGCGTGATTTCCAATATGGTCTTCCTTCCAAAAACTGTGTGCAGCTTTAACGACCTGGTCACCAGGGTGGCCTAGTAAATTTCAGTGTGTATGTGCTTGGTATTGGTCTCTGGTGGGCAAAGTACAAGCTCAAGTCCCGAGAAGAAGGTCAACATTTCAAATACACAGGAATCTAAAGAACTTGGAGTAGAATAACTCCTCCATGCCGGGGAACTCCCACAGGCTCCCATGCTGGGTGGAGCCTCCAATACTTTCCAGGCCCCTAGCCAAGTGTTACCAGTTGGCTTGTAGAGTCAACTCTATCTGCTGCAAAGACAGCTTCACCCTGGCTCCCACAGCACGGAGCCCGAGTGGGCTCATCCCTGGCTGGCCGGCCAGGGGGCTGCCTCACCAAGAAGGATGACCCTGTGGTTGGGGGCTGGCAGGACTCAAACTCTGGGCCAATGCTGCGACTCTGACACGAGGCTCTGCAAGTAACCAGGCCACTGGCCTCCTCCACCCAACTCAAACATCAATTTCTACCAAAATCTCCCAGACAGGGATGGCAGCACTTTCAGAAATGGATTCCTTCAGGCTTGAGTCACTTCCATGCTATATTTTCAATGTGCTGACTTATTTGTTTCATGGGCCTGGGTTTATGGGGGCCCCACAGTATCATTTACCAGGAAAGTGCCTGCCAACTGCACCAATAACCCTTCCCAATGGAAAAGTTAAATTGTACGGCAAACGCAGCAGCAGAGCAGCTCAGCAGATGGGATGACAGTGACAGTGGTTCCTGTGTTCTTCCAGAAGACCCTTGCCACCATCCAAGAGACAGGCAGGGACAGGGAGTCCCACCACCACAGGGACCACCCAGCCTCCATGGGCTCCTCCACTGCCCCTCCAGGGTGCCTTAGAACTCAGCTTGGAAAGCAATGTCCAGCACAACTAAAGGACTGTAAACCTGCCTCGTGACTCACAGAAATTGTGGCCTTGGTGAGATGATCTGTTTCTTGTACAGGGGACAGCACCCAAAGAGACAGACATACACCACTAACCCCTGTGTACAATGTGCTGGGCTTAAAGGTGTGAGCCCCTAGGCCTGGCCTGTACCTGGGCTTGTTTTCAGAATTCTCTCCATGTGTATCTGCCCTTTCCAAACAAACATAATAAAATTGGGGGTTACTTTCAAAGTTGGTTTTGGTGATAATATCAGGCCCCTTACCATTTCCATGTGCCTGCCATGCACCATGCACTGTAGTAGGCCTTTTATAGAAGCATATTGTTGACTTGAAAGCTCACATGCATTCTGCAAAGTGGCTATGCAAAGCCCCATTTTACAGATTAGAGTTGAGGCCCGGAGTCATTAAGTTACCCAAGGGCCACACAAGAAGCAAGCAGTGAACACAGAAAACAAAACCAGGGCCAGATGAGTCCAAACTCCCTACTCCTCCCCTTCTAACTTTGGTTTACTGTCCAGCTAACGGGAAGGACAGTGCATGCCAAAGGCACCCTATGGTGGCAAAGCGCCCTCTCCTAGCCCCAGTCCTGCTCAGCTGTGGCCACAGAGCCCTTCACCTGGAAGGAAATCCTGGCTGAGGAAGGAAGGTCTAACAGCTTCCACCCAAGGCCATCTGGGACCTGGAAGGGGCCTTGCTGTGCTGCCACAGCCAGTGAAGCCACCTTGCCTAACGCATCACTCCTGTCCCTAATCTGCTCCATTTATAATACTGGGCTGTTGCCTTGGCTTATCTGTTGGGCCTCAACTTTTGCCTGGAACCCATTCTCTCTGGTTGGAGTCCTGACACCATCAGCCCAATTTTTCCTCAATTACAGTAGAGACTGAGCAAACAGGGTCTGAAGTTAGACTTTCTGACTCCACTGCGTACAAGTAACTTTATGGCCTGGGTAAGTCATTTTACTTCTCTACTAAGACTTGGTTTCCATACTTGTAAAATGGACATAACAAAACCAACTCATCTGGGTGCCCATCCCCATGTGATTTTGAGGAGTCACATAAGATAATGCATTCGGTGTTCAGGGCAGAGCTGGCACAGGGAAATGCACGTATGTTACTGACTGACATATTCAGTCTCTGACATATTCAGACTGACATACTCCTCTCCCTTCCTTTAGACAGTATCATCTGTCACCTGTTACTCTCAGATAGCAACACTAGCCTGGATCACACCTGAATTCACTGTGCTGCTTCAGGCACGGGGTACACACGTACTTGTGAGGATCCTGTGCTTCACCCCAGTTCCACCTGCAGCCAGCTGCTTCCCTTCTCCCGCCAGAAACACTGCTTGCAGCCAAGTCGCCGCAACATAGGAAAGCTCACAAGAAAATGGGGTTTGGTATAAAAGAGGCTTGACTCTACTCCTATCCAAGAGATTCATCTATGAATCAAAAGCATCTGAATAATTTCTTCCTAGCACTTAACACCAGGTGGAATATTTTTTCATTGATCAGTTGTCTGTATCCTTCACTAGAATGTAAGTTTTACTGGGGCAAGGACTTCAATCTTATTCACTGTGGGATTCTCAGTGCCTGTAGCTGTGCCTGACACACAGCAAATGCTTAATATATTTGGGAGGAAGGAAAGAAAGGAGGCAGGAAAGAAGGAGTTTTACAACATGGAGCCTTCCAAACTCCAATCAACTTTATTTTAAAATTAATAAATTGGCAGGTAATAGGAATCTTTAGCAAAAGCACTTGTCCAGAACTAAATTTGAATGGATGCTGATGACAAGCTTCACGTGTGGTTCCAACCCAGCACTCTCAGATACGAACCATGGTGTGGTAGGAAAGCACTGAACAAAGAGAACCGGAGCTGTCATGAAAGCCCTGGCATTTTTATTAACATATGACCTCAAGGAGTCACAGCAATGGTGGAAAGAGTGAGAACTAAGAGACCTGGGTTCTAGCCTCTGCTCTGCTGTGAGCTGGCCACAGAACCTTAGGCAAAGACCAAGACGGTTCATTTGTCAAACACAGTAGATGAGCTGCTCGGAGACAGACCACCCTTGAAGATCTGTGACAGGACTTCTGAAAGCCAGTATGCCAGGTACTAACCAGCCCCAGAAAAACATATACTTAAACTGGAACTAAAAAACTGGCACTGCTTGTCCTACAGTGAAAAGCATCTGGGACTTGATATGGCCAACTGACTTCACCCAAGCAGGCACCGTTTTTGCCTTTTGGAACAACTCGCAAGTTGGGCCATAGTTTTGGCCGTATTTCCATCAGCCCTGCTTCTTTTGATGAAAGACAATCTGCTCTGGAATAGTAACACTTTCGTTGTCGTGGGAAATGAGAAGCGTGGAATAATGCACGGTGTGCCCACAGACTTGGACCACAGCAGCCACCCAAAGGTGCATGACTCATGACCTGGCACCACCACTGACCCCATCTCATACCCACGCCATCTCTCTGCCTCTGCCCTAACATCCTCAACCAACCACACGGTCCCATTCACCACTCCCTGAACACGCATGTGCATTCCTCCACTTAAACATCTTCCCCATTGAGGGCTGCTGGGTAAAATAGAGAAAGGCTAGTTCAGTCTGAATTTTAGATACACAATGAATAACATTTTAGTATGAATACTTCCTAAAGGTTGCATGGGTCATGTGTGTTTTTTTTTCTCAATGAGATGAAGTCCAGCTCTGTCACCCAGGCTGCAGTGCAGTGGTGTGATCTCGGCTCACTACAACCTCCGCTTCCTGGGTTCAAGCGATCTTCTTCCCTCAGCCTCCCCAGTAGCTGGGACTACAGGTGCATGCCACCATGCCTGGCTAATTTTTGTATTTTTAGTAAGACAGAGTTTTATCATGTTGGCCAGGCTGGTCTTGAACTCCTGACCTCATGTGATCTACCCATCTCAGGCTCCCAAGGTGCTGGGATTACGGGCATGAGCCACTGCGCCTGGCCAGGTCATGTATTTTTTTTCTTTTTTCTTTTTATTTTGAGACGGAGTCTCACTCTGTCACCCAGGCTGGAGTGCAGTGGCGTGATCTCGGCTCACCGCAAGCTCTGCCTCCCAGGTTCATGCCATTCTCCTGCCTCAGCCTTCTGAGTAGCTATGATTACAGGCGCGTGCCACCACGCCCAGCTAATTTTTGTGTTTTCAGTAGAGAAGGGGTTTCACCATGTTAGCCAGGATGGTCTCGATCTCCTGACCTCATGATCCGCCCGCCTCGGCCTCCCAAAGTGCTAGGATTACAGGCGTGAGCCACCGCGCCTGGCCAGGTCATGTCTTTTTATTTGCTAAATCTGACAGCCAATCCCCACTGCTCTCTTAAATCTTACTGATCCTTCAGGGCCTGGCCCAAACTCCAACTTCTTTATCAAGATGTCAAATTCTTCAGAATTCCTGCAGTAACACTAATATCAACTGAATCCTAAATGCTTTGGGGATGGCTGTTCTAATACTGTCACAATGGCTTTCACCTTACTCCTTCCTCACCACTTAGCATTTTTCACTGTGAATTGACTCCACACCTACAGAGGCCAAGACAGGCCCTTCAGTCTCAGCGCAGCATCACGCCCGCGGCAGCAGGGATCAGTCAATGCATGCTGATTCCATGTAAGTGGATATTAATCCTGTGGTCTGAGGTCATATTACAGAACCAGAATAAAAACAGTGTATCTCGGTAATCTAACCAGTCCCTACGCTCCTCTGAACCCCGGCCCCCGCCCCCTACTCATGTCGAGTGCTTAGAGCAGTGGAAGAAATCACATTAAGTGTCACGGGCCATGGGTTTGTACAGCGATTTAAATGAAACGACAGGTCCAAACAAAGCCGAGAGTTCACTTTGGGGTGCATGTGGCACTGGCTCTGTCGCCTCCAAAGCCAGGGAGGGCCTCTGAGGAGGAGCAGTGCCGACATGCAGCAGCCGGATGGTTTCTGTCTAAACCACCCATCTGAACTGCCTAACAGCCTTGGAGGGGACGTTCAGATAACACCAAAGGTGTCAGACCAATCCAGGCTGTTGGGGGGATTTAAACATAATTCCCAGTGACTTGGAATAATAAACACTACACTGGTCAGGACGGTGCCTGCCGTCTTTCTGGCGGGGAGTTCGGGGCTCCACCACTTCCTCTGCTGCCACAGGAGTGTGCCCACCCTGGGGAGCAGGAGCCGCAAGTCCTTCACCACTGAGACTTTCGCCGGGCTCAGCGGTACCCGGGGGCCACTGGAAAGATGGGTAGGGAGTGGGTAAAGTGAACTAGGGCATGGAGAAGAAAAACCCCCAGAAGGTAGAAGGGAGAGACTAGCATGCTATTAGCAGTGGCCTCAATGACACCCGAATAATAATCTGTAGAAGGACCAGGTAATCGTAACAGCCCTGTCCTGCGAGGTAGGCACTATGCTAGCAGCTCTCCCTGCCCTCCCCCATGATCCTGAAAACTGCTCTCCACGCAGACATGCGCTCCTGTCCTTGTTTTAAAGAAAGGGAAAAAGGGCCTTAGAGAAATAACTTGACCAGAGCCACGCAGCTAGGGGCCAATGTCCGAGGAAGGACATGCAGACCCAGCACAGTTAGATTGAAAAAGAAATGAAAGACATTCTTGCTTTTGCCCAAACTGAACCCTTTTTTTTTTTTTTTTTAAATCACCCAACCCAACAGCTGATCACACGAAGAGATACAAATCAGAAGTTTCCGGCCACAAGTGAGGTTCGCGTTTATGCCGCCATATGGTTCTACTTTTGCCTCTTCCTCTTCTCCATTAGTTATTAATGTTGAAAAAAATTGTTCAACCAGAAAAAGAAACTTGAGATGAACCCTTAAAAAAAGCACAAAAGCCAGACCAGCTCAGACCCACGGAGTCTAACCCACGGCGCCCTTGTCTTTAAGAAGTGCACCCTTGTACCTCAGTTTTTTAAAAAATGGCCAAATGAACACATTCCATCTTTTGATCTGCCTGTTGGCCGAGAGCCCACCACCAGCGAGATAGGAATCAAAAACAGACTGCGTACTCGGGTGCGCTCAGAGGAAACCGCCACGCCAGGATGCCACAGCTGCCGACGTCCAGCAGAGGGCTCTGTGACAATTTGTTCCTTTTATTTTTGCAGAAGGCCCAAAACTTTCTTAAAAAGATAAAAGTGGTTTCAAGTGGCACGCACACTAGTGTCAGAAGCAGAATATACAGCGTGGCATTTGGTAAAAACATCAACCTTGAAACCAAACGGCCTCAAATCCTGGGTCGGTCACTTGCTGGCTGAGTGTAACCTTCCCAAGTCTCTGGAACTGGGGGTTACGACACCCATGTCAAGGAGAAATTCATGCTGTTCCATAAACCCCGAATGCCAGCTCCAGGCCCGTGTCAGGTGCAAGGGCTCAGCATGGGAAGAGATGGACATGGGCGGCCCTGCTCTGACAGCAAAGTCCAGCCACAGAGGCGTCCCCAAGAGGTAAGGGTAGGCTGGGCGCGGTGGCTCACACCTGTGAACCCAGCACTTTGGGAGGCTGAGAAGGGTGGATCACTTGAGTTCAGGAGTTCGAGACCAGCCTGGCCAATATGACAAAACGCCGTCTCTACTAAAAAAAACACAAAAATTAGCCAGGTGTGATGATGTGTGCCTGTAATCCCAGCTACTCAGGAGGCTGAGGCAGGAGAATCGCTTGAATCTGGGAGGTGGAGGTTGCAGTGAGTCGAGATTGTGCCACTGCACTGTAGCCTGAGCAACACAGACAGACTCTGTCTCAAGAAAAAAAAAGAGGCAAAGGTAGGAAGGAAACCTGCAGGACACAACGGAAGTGGGATGCCACGGGGGGAGTCAGCAGTCTACGAGGTGAGACAGAGATGATATGTGAATAATGACCAATGAGCCAGCCCTCCAAGACTGCAGGGAAAAATAACAGGGGCATCCCAAGCAGAGGGAAGAGCCAGCAAGAGGCTCCGCTGTAGAGGCCACTGAGGCAAGTGCAAGAACAGAGAGGAGCAAAGCACGGCTGGAGTGAGATCCAGCGAGGCAGCACCTCCTGGTCCACTCCAAGTGCAAGGGCAGGCCCTGGCACACTGCTTTTCTTAAGAATTTAAAAAAAAAAAAAAAAAAAAAAAGGCCAGGTGCGGTGGCTCGCTTGAGCTCAGGAGTTCGAGACCAGCCTGGGCAACACAGCGAGACCTTGTCTCTACTAAAATAATAATAATAATAATAAAAATAGCCAGGCATGGTGGCGTGTGCCTGTAGTCCCAGCTACTCAGGATGCTACGGTGGGAGGACTGTTTGAACCCGGGAGGTCGAGGCTGCAGAGAGCCGTGTTTGCTCCACAGTACTCCAGCCTGGGTGACAGAGTAAGAACCTGACTCAAGAAAAAAAAGTGTTTACTTACGTATAATAGATAATACATTCATATAGGTCAGAATTCAAAAAGGTACAAGAGCACAAGCTGGGAAAGGCCTCCCAGTGAGGGCCTGCAGGCTGGCTGCCCTCGCCTAGGGAGATGGCCTCCAGGTCGGGACCCCTTCAGTGGGGCTCCCTTCACCGATCTGTCTAGGTGGACACGTGGCCTCCACTAGCCTATGAGAGATGCAGGGATCCCCACCCCACCACCACTGCTCAGTGTGGAGAAGACATAAGCCCGCTCCCCAACTCCCCAAGGGCAGCTTCGTTACAGGGACCTCAGTTTGCCATTCGGAACGCTGAGCCACGGAAGCACAGCTTCGTGTAGCTGAGGCTAGAGCTTCCAACCCATTTTGCCTAATGGCTCTCTAAGCATGGCCACCCCTGCAATGAGAAGGCACCTTCACAGGCGGCAGCTTTGCACCGGGCCTGAAAGTCACACCCAGGTGGTCAAGCTTGTTTTGGATGGGAAGCAGCTGTGCTCCTGGAGACTCAGGCAAGTGGTGCCCCTGAGTAACCAGAGGGTAGCCCCACAGGCTCCTGCTCACTCCAGGAAGCATCAAAACATATCTCCTTAGGATAACAGCCATGTGAGCTAGGGTATGGCTCACCTATTCAGAGACAGGACTGAGGGCACCCTCACCTGCGGATAAGAAAACCCAAGCACGGGGAAGCTGCTGGTCCTGGCTGTCCTAGCCAACATGACGTGGAGAGGAACGAGAATCTCAATTTGAGACTGACCCAGCTCTTCCAAAGACCAAGCCCCACCAGGTCAACAAGGCAAGCTACCCCCATTCCCAGTCAAGCTCAGGGGACAGGGGAGGAAAAAAGAACAGAATCGGGGGAACTATGGGACTGTGAGGACCAAAGCTTTCTCCCCCAAGGGCCCAGTCATGGCAGACCCAAGGTGCCCAGGGTCGCCTGGGAAGGGCTGCAGGGCTGGGCTCTCCTGCCGCCTCACCACAGCCCACAGCAGATCCAACATGTGACCTTTCCACTCTGGGCCTCGGGGACTCCTGGAGTGTGGGCAGGGGCTCAGTGCCTACCACCCAGCAGAGCCTGGTGAGAAACGGGCCCCTCGCCTGCCTGTTTCTCACACACAAGGGGGACTCTTCCAGTTCCAGCCCCTCTCCTCTTTAAGCAGTCCCTTGGCGCTGAGGGCCTTATTTTTTTGTTGTTTTGTTTTGTTTTTGAGATGGAGTCTCACTCTGTTGCCCAGGCTGGAGTGCAGTGGCGCGATCTCGGCTCACTGCAACCTCCGCCTGCCAGGTTTAAGCGATTCTCCTGCCTCAGCCTCACGAGTAGCTGGGATTATAAGTGTGCACCACCATGTCCAGCTAGTTTTTATATTTTTAATAGAGATGGGGTTTCACCATGTTGGCCAGGCTGGTCTCAGGTGATCCGTCGGCCTTGACCTCCCAAAGTGCTGGGATTACAGGCATGAATCACCTTGCCTGGCCAAGAGCCATATTCTTTAAGTGCAAGCACAGCCTGCTTTCTTCCTGTGAAGGTTGTAAGTTGTAAGATGCACCAGTAATTATAACATCACTAAGTGTACACATGAAGTTTAAGAAGTAATTTCCCAATTTTGGCAACATTAAAACGTGAGTGATGGCTGGGCACAGTGGCTCATATCTGTAATCCCAGCACTTTGGGAGGCTGAGGTGGGCAGATCACCTGAGGTCAGGAGTTCAAGACCAACCTGGCCAACATAGTGAAACCCCGTTTCTACTAAAAATACAAAAATTAGCCGGGCGTGGTGGTGCATGCCTGTAATCTCAGCTACTTAGGAGGCTGAAGCAGAATTGCTTGAACCCGGGAGGTGTAGGTTGCAGCAAACTGGGAGTGTGCCACAGCACTTCAGTTTGGGTGACAGAGCAAGACTCTGTCTCAAAATACTAAACAAAACAAAACAAATTTTAAAAAAAACAAAAAAGGTGAGCAAGTCACGTACCACAGAGTTGAGACAATGGTACATGCAGCACATCTGGTGGAGTAACACAGATGTTTCCGACTTAAGATTTATTTGACTTTGCGATGGTATTCAGTAGAAGCTGTAGCCTGAATTTTGATCTTTTCCTGGGCTAGCAATGCACGGTCCAATCCTCCCTCATGACGCAGGGAGACAGCAGCTCCTGCAGCTCCCCACCAGCCCCGTGATCACAAAGGTGAGTGATGACACTCTACAGCCACTGCGCGCCAGGTGCTTTCACCAAACTGTAGGCATGTTCTGAGCACGTTTAGGGTCAGCCAGCTGAAGCCATGATGCTTGGCAGGTCAGGGGGATTAAAAGCATTTTCTACTTCCAATGGGTTTTCCAGCATGTAACCCCTTCGAAGGTGCAGCAGCATCTGTACCCGCTCATATGAGGCACACGACTCGAGGCAGGGGTTGTAGCTGGTTACCTAGGGTTTAATGCAACTGAGGCTGGCCAAGAGGGCCAACATTAGGAAATCATTTTTGACCAACAAATGATTTATTCTGCTTAGAAATGAGTCTTCCACATGCCATTAACAACAAAGAGTTTTTTCAGGAAACGGTAAGTCCCCTCCATCTCTTTCTTTTCTCAGACAGGTGCCCTGACCATCCGGAGATAAATAATAAACAAAAGCAGGCCTCCTGGGCTCGCTTTCAGCCATTCATACTCCAGACCCCAAAGTTTTGCCCTCTGGAAGCTCGCAGCCTGGAAGGGGCCACAACAGTTTCCTAAAGAAAGGGTCAGGAAGGGGCAGAACAAAGAAGACAAATGGAAAGGAGAAATGAAAATCACTATATTTGGGTCAACCACAGTCACACACAAGGCTCCTGTTGTCCACATGTAACCTTAAGCTTCCCTGAAGGGGATGAACCAGGCCCTTGGAGCCTAATTAAATTAACTGTTTCCTGGCCAGGCGCACAACCCATCACCTGTGTGTAGAGAAGCCAGGGTCTCTCTAAGCTGCCTGGCTGCTTTTAATTAAGGACTCATCCCTGAGAGATGAAGCACAATATACACAACCACCTTCAAGTCCCCAGAATGGAAGTGATCTTGGACTCAATGCTGAGAACTGCCTGCAGTCCCCCAGCCGGCAGGAGAAGCTGCCGCCTACAGCCAGGTGGTGGCCTCGGGCTAAGGAGCACAGGGAGGCTCCCCCGCACCCCTGCCCTCCACCCAACATCCTGCACGTCTATCCAGATCACCTTCCTTCCCCGCACTCCACCTAAGTCATCCTTCAGGGTCTGATTTGGCCACGCCTGCATCTTCCACAGCAACCTCCCAAAGCTGCGTCGGCAGAGGCCCTATGCTCCTGCATCCTGTACAGGATGCGGTGTTGAGCCTCACAGGTTTGTGATGTGCATGGCTCTCCCCAGGGCAGGGATGAGCTGTCTGGACTGCCTTGTGCCTGGCTTGATGCTGGCAGGACTTCTGAAGCGTTGGTGGGATGGTGGAAAACGAGGGCCGCTCAGGTCAGGTTCTGATCTTTTGAAGCCCAAGCCTGCCTTGGTGGGAAGCAAGTTCTCAGCACTTCAGCGCCTCCCTTAGAGGAGGGACTACGGGGTCTTTGGTGGGTAGGAGAGAGACCGACCCTTGACGTGGATGGCATTTCATCCTTATGACTGCCGGCCCTGAGTTGGACAAAGGTGTGCACCCACGGGGCGTGGGCTGCTGCCTGCTGTAGGGCTGCTGCCAGCTGTGGCACTGATGCTGCCCCTTGTACCCTACACAGCCTCCTCCTAAAGCCAGACCTACAGCCTTCCTAGCATGAAGGCAAGAATGGGGTTGCTGCTGTTCTCTTCTGGGATGGTCCTCAGTCCTTGGTCTGGCTTTCTTAGTCCACATTTTTATTAGGATTATTGGCCAGATGCAGTGGCTCATGCCTGCAATCCCAGTACTTTGGGAGGCCGAGGCAGGCGGATCACTTGAGGCCAGGAGTTCAAGACCAGCCTGACCAACATGGTGAAACCCCCATCCCTACTAAAAATACAACTCCCCCCCAAAAAAAATTAGCCAGGCATTGTGGCGAGCACCTGTAATTCCAGTTACTTAGGAGGCTAAGGGAGGAGAATCGCTTGAACCTGGGAGGTGGAGGGTACAGTGAGCCGAGATGGCGTCACTGCACTCCGACCTGGGCAACAGAGAGAGAGACTCCATCTCAAAAAATTAAAAAAAGTGATTATCACATTGGTTTGTATTCTTCTGTCACCTGAAATCTTTTTGGGAAAAGACCAGGTAAAAATACACAAACATAACTCATATATAAGATGACTTTTCTCCAAAGACACAGTAATTTCACAGAGGGATTCCATCCTCTGGTTTAAGTGAAAAGATACATAGTGAAACCAATTTTTTGTTCTCGTCAACATTTTAATGAAACAACATTATTCAAGGGCTTGCTGTAGGTCATAATTCCCAAGAACCTAAGGACGACGTTAAGTGAGGACTCACTGAACTATCAAAGTTATGAAAGGAATAACAGCAAAGATGTTTCAGTCTTACCACGTAAGAGGCATGTAACACACATCCTCATTTTATCATCACAGCAACCCTGTAGGAGGCAGGGGTGTTATTATCCCACATTATTGTTTACAGGTGAAAAAAAGAGGCACAGGTAGGTTAAGCAACTTGGCTACAGTCACACAGCAGGTAATTCAATGAAAGCCATGCAATCCCACCCTAAGGTCATGGGGACTCTAGAATGATGCCTGGTGAGAAACCTAGCGGGCAAAATACTT